AACCTTGCTTCATGATCACCTTTTTCTGTTCGATTCCACACTGTTTCTTTCACAATTAAATCGCATGACCTAGGGGGTGTTTCATAAAGATGTTCGTAAGTTACGCACGACTTTATGCACGACTGGAACATGTTCTTGGGTGCTAATCAGATTCTCAATCATTTACATGTAGCACAAGAACATATCACCAGTCGTGCGTAAAGTCGTGCGTAACTTACGAACGGCTTTATGAAACACCCCCCAGAACTCAACACTATCTTTGAGATGGGAAAATTAGCTGGTTCTTTGCCCAATGATTACATAATATCAGTCAAATTCTTTTTCAAGGCAGGACTTGCATCCTGCTGCCCACAAGCATGATAAATGCAATGCTTTAAGTGTGGATGAAGGATTATCATTTTCATTTGACAATTTATCCTATCACACAGTGAACGTAGTCGCACACGATCACCGCCACACAGACGGCGCAGCCCCAGCAGGTCCCCTCCCCCTCCTCCTCCTCCGCGTCGACGCAGTCGGACCAGATCTCCACCGCCCAGGTCCAAGCGCCGTAGTCGTACCAGGTCACCCCCACCCCTCAGACGGCGTCACTCTCCTAGCAGGTCGCTCTCCCCTCCACCCAAGAGAAAGTCAAGGTCAGGCTCAAGGTCACCACCAAGAAAGTAAGTGGGTGAATTTGGAGTGAAATAGAGGTTGGATTTGATGTGGTTTATAGGTTTTTTTAAAAAACTATTTTTAACTCTCAACATGAGATTATTGACAACTGATTATTGCAGCTTTTTTTCTTTCATATTTTACTTTCCCATTTAAAATCAACATAATAACAGTTTTCACATTTTCGCACAAACTTTACGACAAGATTTGACCATACGTCGGAAGAAATTGCCTTTAGGGCTAGATTTGAAAATTTAAATAATTCTTGACATTCTGAAAAGTATTCAATATGAAAATCCATTTTTTTTGTTAGGGGGGGGGGGGGTTTCATTTCAAGCCTTCTTATTTTGAACATGTTCAGACGGATTGACTGTTCAAGCCTGATAATTTCCCAAATTAAATCGGTTTCCCGATTTAGTTGATTTTGTTTATCTTTTTAATTCAATTTTTTCTGAATGATTTTTTTTCTCCCAAAAGGGATAATTCCAGGAGTTGATGTAAATCCGCTTAAAAATTAGGGGGGGGGGGGGGGGGGGTGAGGTGCCATTTTTTTCTTGACTTGCTTGAATTCGGGAGTTCGGCACCTCGCTTCGGATTAAAAAAAACAAAAAAACTTTTGCACAGCAACTGTCAATTTTATCTTTACATGACACTTTCTCATCACATTTTACTTACCCCGTCTCTTTCCCTCACCAGGCACAGGAAAGAGAAGAAGAACCGTCGCAGCCGCAGCAAGGAGCGCAGCAGCAGCAGCCGCAAGCACAAGAAGGACAAAGATAAGGATAAGGAGAGGGAGAAAGAGAAGGACAAGGAGCGCGACCGGTCCTCCGAGAGGAAGAGCAAGGACGACGAGCCCTCCTCCAAGGGAGGCAAGTCCTCCAAGGTGAAGCGGGATTACGATGAGGAAGAGAAGGGGTTCATCAGTGATAAGGAGGAGGGGGGCGAGGGGGGCGGTGCGGGAGGGGAAGGCAAGGGGAAAGGGTTCGCAGATGGAGAAGGGGATGCAGACATACAGAATGTAGACATGGACGTGGACTCGGATTAGGAGTGCAATCCAAATTGACGGAAAGGTCAATTTAAGGTGGATACCTGAGTCAGTGTTGATGATGTAAAGTGAGGAGATGAATGGATGTGGCTTCACATTTGAAGGTTGATGTTACTAAGAATTCTTTAGGCATGAAGATAAACCATTTGTAATCGGGAGAATTTTAGGTGAAGCATATGTAAATCTTTGGGTAAAGTCTGTTAGAAGCTTTAAAAAGTACAAAGGGATGTGGGAGGGGGGGGGGGTCAAAGTGAAAGATAATTACTGCATTTCGACTCGCGATTTGCTCGCTAGTTCTAGATACTGTGTACTTAAGCTGCGATGTTGTTGCTTGTATTTTCATGCAATTTATTTGGCATGGCATTTCGAAGGCCCATTTGACCTGCGCAACTCTATCAGACCTTGCATCTTTTTCAGTAATGAGGGATACCTTTGCCAAAATGGTTGATTAACTTAATTGAACCTGTCTCAAACAAAACATTTCTATAGGACACAATGTACAAAAGAAGAAAGAACTTAAGCTAGTACTTTTCATTTTTTACTAAGGAAAAGAACAGAGGGATGATCATCCACCAGCTGACATACAATACTTTCTCCTTTTTAATTATTTAAAAAAATAAGCAGTTGTATAAAACCTGCAGTCTTTACGTAATTATGCTCTCATCATGTATGTTGGTAGCACTAGGCTTAGAAGTAGAAATCTTGTTTTAATTTTGTCATTTAAGTTTGTTCTTAAAACTGGTGATATAGTTTAAGTTATGCATTTTTTTTTCCAAACAATAAACTGCTGAAGAAAAGCAACAATTTTCATTAGTGTTGAACTTTGTTTTTTATGTGTCCAACTGAAATTCTTAGTTTACCCAATAAACCTAGCCTAAAATGTACATGTTGCCTACGGGAAGCCGTCCTGTATTAAAGTCTATGGGAATCAAAGAATTCACTAGTCCATGGGTTAAAGATGTATGAATGCACTTAATGTAGCATTTGGTTTGGGGACTACAAATTATTAGGGACATTCTGACCATTTTTTTCTTCCTATTATGCATTGAAAGTGTGAAATATCCGGCAATGCCGACTCTCACAGAAGCCTTATTGCAATATGATATCCTGAATTGAAGCAAGGAGCTCATATATTGACATACTATGTATCAAATGCAATTTTCTGTAAATATGTCCCAATTTCCTGATTTATCACAATAATGTAGGTATATATATGGGTTGCATATTTGGTGGTTTCCAGACCGTTTTACAAGCTTCGATATATTTCAAGCCATTAAAATGCAGGGTTGTACTAGTTGTACATTTTCCACAACTGGAAAAACATTCAACTGAAAATCACCTAAAAGTGATAGTATTGTGTGATTCAAGATAAGATCTGAGAAACGGGACAAGTCACAGAGAGAGAAAAAGAAGGGGGGGGGGGGGGTGTGTGAATAAGAGGGTATTTGAGAGATAGTGACATAACTGAGTGATCTTAACACACCTGACCAATTTCATCTTTCCCTTTTTTTGGATCTTATTTACCAGGGAAGACATGCACTGATGTTTGAAGGGTGTGTACTTTGCCCTGGCTTGCTAAAATTCAAAATATGTGAAAGATCTTTTTATTAGCAAGCTGCGGTCATATATTTCAATCTATCCGGTTTGCATGTCATTACATCACAAAAGATGACCAAAAAGAAGAGAAAAGGGAACATAAAAAAACATGTCCATGTGACTATTGATCATAATAAATACACAGAATGCACATAAAATAATGCATAGAAATGAAAAGTAATCCAGCATTTTCCACTACTTAGTCAAGCACACCCATACAAATGTTGTTTAGAAGTTTTTTGATGCCAGATTACATCATTTAATATCAATACAAATACATACATATATACAATATGTACACAATTCAAATAAAATTTAAAAATCATCATTTCATGAATCCGTCTAGGTTTCAGATTTTATCAACCTCTTGCAATGCAGACACCAAGTGTAATGATATTTTACTAGAATGCAAAATAAACAGGAAATACAAAATGATGTGTTCGGACAATCCTTACATAATGTAAGGATCGTTTAAGGAATCAATTATTATACATTCTATCAACTTTCTGCAATACAGACACCAATTATACTGATATTTATGGGGCTGGGAGATAAATTTTACCAGAATACAAGATGATGCATTCGGATTATGCTTAAATAAATGTTAAATCCTGACATGAGTCACTGTAAGTGTACCCTGTGTAGCAATTAGTATCATTGATTTAAATGTGCATTGGAATAACGATTGCATATGGAAGAAATAGGATATGAAATATATTTAATTATATTTTAAAATCAATTGTTACCTCCAGGTTATGCTTCAACCCATGCTTTGCTTTCATATACCAATACTGCATCAACAATTCACCTATGCAATTAAAAAATAGAATTATAACACCAAAATGAAGAAATGAGTGTTGTTATGTGGTATAAATGTGAAGGTACAGCAGATAATGGACGGAATGCACTAATCAAGAAGAAGAAAAAGGAGATGGAAGAGGAGGAGAAGGAGAGTAGGAGGAGGAAAAAAGAAGAAGAAAGCCTATTGTTTGCTTGGGGGGGGGGGGGGGAGGGGGACTGACAAAAACTGCAACGATTTTTAAAGTTAACAATATGAAACTGACAGTCACTTCATACATGTTTGCAACGCGACGGCTAAATGATTCCTATCTATTTCATACGTTTATTTATTCATAAAACTTCGACAACCCATCACTGGGCAATCAGCTGCAATTGCTGCATTTCCTCTTATCTAATGTACACACTAAACAATTGTGTCACATCAATTCATGAATTGTTGGTTAATATAAATTCCAAAAGCAGTTTGACGTACTAATTCAAAATTTGATGGGCTTTTTAAAAGTCCTCGTCGATGTAAACGCCACTAAAATTTGTAAATGTACATGCTAGGTTAAAAAATGTTGTCCCTCAAGGAAGGAGGTTAGCAGACAGATCAAATCCAAACCTCCCTAGCTGTGACACCAGTAAAATGAAGCGACCTTATTTAGGGTCAAAATGTTAAGGTGACCTTGACAGCCATTACGTGTTGTCACATGTCTACCTAAAAGCAAGCTTGGTCTGTCCTCCCTTAGATCCTGGCACTCTCTCGTAGGTCAGTCTTCTTCTCTTTGTGGGGCCATCAGTGTAGATATCTCCCATGCAGCTCAGTCTGCCTGAGGAATTGAACAAACTTTTTGCATCAAATACCATTGGAATCATGACACGAAAGATGTCAAACATGTGAAAATGACAATCTGGCTTCCATTGCGTAAGACTAGTCTTGGTCTGGACCCCGATACCTAAAGCAAAATGACTGTTACCCTAACTCGGGACCTTTGCATTTCTTATAGAGTTGTGACTGGTGTTAAATTCAAGTTTAGTTACAACTGATTCAGATCATTCGCAACTCTTAATATGAATGCCCAAGGCCCCACCCTATTGATCGATTCAAAGTGGCTGCAACTTCCCTAGTCAATTGCACAGCGACAGACTTCTATATCTTTAGCACAGAATTGCATTTAATAAAAACAGGGCTTCAACTACGCAACAGCTCCTCCCTGACCTGCCAGTAGTAGATATCAGACTCACCGATATCAAGGAAGGCATCGCTTCTTTGATGCTGGTATGATGAAGCTTTTCCCTCCAGCCACCCTGGTCTTGAGAGCATCATTGCGTCCTTTCCACCAACCCAGTGGTCATCCCTGCTGTGTAGGGCCTCTTGTCCTTGACCCTGGTAGTGATCAGGTGGTCTTCGACGATGCTGTTCTTGTTGACTGGGATATTCCTGGGGATGCCTCTGCCCTGGAAAGTATCCCTATGAAATGAAGCAATATCATTTTATAAAGTAAATCAATCCATGTGGCATATAGTTTACCATTTTGGAATAGGAAAACAAAAACAAGAAGAAATGAACTAAAGAAGTTGAATAGGGTAGATGAGTAAAGGAACATTAAAGCCATCCAAAAAGCACAATGCAGATGGATTACTAAAAAATGAATGACACACTACACAAATTTTCATTAAATTATACACATTGAGAACACAGATCCTCTTTCAGAAAACAAATATTTATCATTCTTCATATATTTGTGTGCCTTTGTTACTTGACTATATTCATACCTGATTCTGGTTCTGACTTGAAGCTGTTCCTCTTCTCGCCGGTAGACCTGATGTTGCAAGGGTACCAAACTCACCACGCCTTGAAGTCTTGTTGCTTAAAGAACCCTTGGGAATGGTCATCTGCAATGGATTACCGGCACCAGCCCGGGGACAGGGTTGTGCTATACCTATGTATTTCCTTGGAGCTCCCCTTTGTGTACAAGGAATTTGATCGATTCCATGTGTTCTTGTGTTTGCTGGATTTTAAGATTGAAACAAGAGAACCATGAATAAAGAGATGATTGGTGAGTACTACAAAATCAAAGAATTGTGCTGAAAATGAAGCACTAAGAACTCACTCATTGGGGTCTTAAGAATGAAATGCAATGGAAGACTATAAAGCTTAAGTATGGCTTCAATCACAGCTAACTGTGAAGAGCTTAAAAATAGATTTATATGATAAGAAAAGCTATTGTAGGAATTGAAAGATTAACAAAACAAAAATAAAGTAAGTTGATTAAGAATATCAATGTTCATCAAATAATTTGTATGGAGGCTTGAATGCATTTCCCCGACGTATCAAAGAGAGAAAATGTCTAGGTCTATTATGAGCTTCAACATGTAGAGAACTTACTTCTTTGTGCTGGTACACTTGCTGACTGACCAGAGAGACGAATTTGTTCCTTCTTAGAATAATCACTTTTCATTTCTTTGTTGGTCAAACGCTGCTCTACATCCCACTCCTGACGCCGAAGATCTTGAAGCTGACTTGGAAGAAGAGCATCTATGCCTGAGTAGGCCTGTCTGGCACTAGCCCTAATGCTGGAATGCTGCCTTGGTTGCATTGCTTCCTCCATGGTCCAGTCTCTTGCCGGCAATGGGGCGCTACCAGACTTGCCTGTGAATGAATACGACAGGAGGTCGGAAAGGTCCCTTCGACCTGATCTATTCTTGTCAAAGTGGAGTAAGAGATCTCTTGTAGGATGGTGATCCACATTGGTAGCCATTGCATCATCTGCATCAAACTCCTCTGAATGATACCTTGATAAGCCAGGCTGGTTCTTCCTGATAGAGTCCCCTGATGCAAGCAGTTCCAGTGGTGTCTTCAGGTCATCAGGAATGCAACGTTCTAGAGGATATAACTCTTCGCCGTCAAGGTCATAGACAGGGTAATCATCCACCGGTTCAGATTTGATCGTAACAGGAAGATCCTGACGCAGCTGCCTCTGTTCATCTTTGTCTATGTTCTCACGTTCACTCTGCAGCATGCTCCACTTGTTTCTTCTCCCACGCTGTTGAGGGTACAAGTCGGAGGATCCCGTATCATATGCATCTTCCTGAGCTCTTGTTGCTCCTTCATCTGCAATGGCCTTCCTGCTTCCTTCATCAATCACAGATCTGTTCCGCGAGATGGACTCGGCTTGGTTAGGCCTTGACTCTTCTCTCTTCTGTGTCAGGTGGACTTTAGAAGGACGATCGCACAAAGGACTCTCATCATGAACAAGCTTGTGGAAATGCTATGGGCAGGGATGGAAACAGGGAGACACAAGGTTATACTCTCTTCATGACAAAACCTTTTTTTCATGGCTCATAGACTTTTGTTCTAGAATGAAGGTTTCTTTACATCTTGAATGAAATAAACATATTTTAGAAGCAAGCAACAAAAGGTACCATAGGAATGAATTGCAATTCTAAGTGAGGTTAGCATGAAGTTCAATTTATTAGTACAGTTCAGTACAAATATCATGCGTGCACTAAAACATTCAAAGAATATATGATTGTTGCATAAACATTCATCATAATCCCAGCATTTTGATTATAAAGACATGATCATTATTTTGACGATTTAGCAAAAGATATGGTAGTAAAATATAATGTAGTGATCCTGTCACCCCACAAACTAGATGGAACTTCGACTGCGCGCAGTCGAAAATGATGCCTCTGTCATAGAGCAAGTTTACAAACCAAAAAGCAATTTCTCATATACATATATGACCCTTTGATCTTTGACCTCATGACCCTAAAATGTACTCAGTTCATTGGCTCTGCAAGATGTCCTGAGTCAAATAGTAATCCATTTGTCAGTTCTAATGAGAATGCGTTCACAAGCTATTTTTGCATACATAATGAGCCCATGACATTTGACCTTTGACCTCATGACCCAAGAATCTACTCAGTTCATTGGCTCTGCAAGATACATACATGATCTAAGTTTGGCAGGAATCCTTCAATCTGTTCTAATGATAATGCGATCACAAGCTATTTTTTGCATACATAATGAGCAGCATGACCTTTGACCTTGACCAAGACCCCAAAATCTAATCAGTTCATCGGCTCTGCAAGTAACATACATGACCTAAGTTTGGCAGGAATCCATCAATTGGTTCTTGAGATAACGCGATCACGAGCTGTTTTTGCATACATAATAAGCCCTGTGACCTTTGACATTTGACCTCATGACCCCAAAATCTAATCGGTTCATCGGCTCTGCAAGATACATACATGACCAAAGTTTGGCAGGAATCCATCGATCGGTTCTTGAGATAACGCGATCACGAGCTGTTTTTGCATACATAATGAGCCCTGTGACCTTTGACCTTTGACCTCGTGACCCCAAAATCTAATCAGTTCATTGGCTCTGCAAGATACATACATGACCAAAGTTTGGCAGGAATCCATCAATCGGTTCTTCAGATAACGCAATCACGAGAATGGGACGTACGGACGGACGGACAACCCGAAAACATAATGCCTCCAGCTACTTCGTAACGGAGGCATAAAAAGGCAAATTCTGTGGAAAGTACATCATCTCCTAAACAGAATCGTTAAAATACCATGTAATGCTATTGAAAGTGCCACTGCATTTGTCAGACAGTCTTTGTTAGTTAGCATCTTACCGCGATGATTCGTGTTGGAATCCATGGACAGAGCTTTGAGAGATATGTGAGCGGAGCTGAAAGCAGCACTGGTAGAGGAGCAGCTGTGAGCATGACTTGAGCACTGAAGGAGTTCACACATGGAAATCCCGTCAAGAATTTCTCATGCTGAAAGAAAGTTTAGTATTTTTAAAACATTGGCAACAAATTTTGTAACTGAAAGAATTTACTAATATGGAGACATTTTGGGGAGGTAACGCCAGTTTACAGGTTAACCCTTCCTGGTTCCACACAGTATATCAAGTTATAAATCAGCAAAGATACTAGCAAGCTTCTAAAATAGACTAGAGCATTATGACTCATAATAATAACAGGTAAAAAACACCTCAATTACAATCCCCTATAAACAAATCAATTATCTTCCTGCAGCTGATCAATAGTAGAAGATGATTGCATGAGTAAAAACCTCTTATTAACAATGACAATATTCAACAGATTGAGAATTTTACTTTCCACATGATGGTCTTCAATTCAAGCTCAAGAGAATTATTTTGGTATAAACGTAAGCTGACAAATATGAATCATGTCACCAACCTTGCTCAGTCTCTCGGTCAGCCAAGGCCTAGTGAGCCAGTCATCATTGTGCCATACTGATTCAGAGGCCTTCCTAGAAATGTCACATATCCCGTTGATGGTAGAGGCTGTGCAGATACTGTCATTAGAATACATCACCTGTAAAGAAAAATTGCATAGCTAGGGCACAGTCAAATATCAATTCAGTGGACAAATGTGGGTATATTAACCTTGCTACAGTGAGTTTGTCAAATTAAGAGAAAGTCTGGGCCTGGTGAGCCAGTCATTATGGTGTCACACTTTTGCTGATGCCTTCTAAGATACTAGGAATAGAATGTACAGAAGAGTTAGAAAACAATTAATTGGGTTCTACTGTATATCTTTAATGTTTGTTGGTTGGTATGGCTATGTCTTCCTTTAATCAAAGAAACTTTTTCAATCAACTGTATCAACATCATCATCATCACAATCTCTCTCTCTCTCTCCATCTCTCTCTCTCTACCCCTCCCTCGCTCTCTTTCCTTTTATATTCCCTTTATATATGTCTCTCTCATTCTCTCTCCCCCCTCTCAAACATGTATTCAAGACTCTCTTCTTCATCCCTGGCTTCATCAAAACGACACATAGTATAATACAACTACATTTAAGCATTGCTTTAATTAGGAAAGTGTATTTGTTACCTTCACTCCAAAATCATGTGACTTGGCTGTGAATTGTGATAGGGCTGCCTGTAGCTTGCAAGTATTTACTACCACATGACCGCCAAGAGCATATCTGCCAAAAAAAACCACAATGAACACAAATTGAGGAAATGAGAAACAAGATTCTCAATTCAGATACACAAACCGATTATTTATTTATTTTGATAACTTGTTGCTAGTACCATCTGTATATTCCCAGGACAATGCTGTCGGATAAAGCTGTTGTCTGTTTGATGATTTTGCTTGTTTTTAATGATATGTACCCGCTGTCTATTTTACAATTGTACTTCGTTATCTTTATGATGTAATCGCAGACACATGTACAGCCCAATTGATGTAACTTTCTCTTTATAAGTGAACATGCCTTCCTATACTTAATTCTCTCCTCTCTTCCTTTCACTATTTTTTCTTTCCTATCAACGTTCTGTTATATACAATGTAATTTTCATAATAATATCTATAATGTTCTTTCGGTAACTGTGTTAATTTATTATGGGCGTTCCCAACTCAAGCTATGCTTTCCGGGTTTTCGCCTCCTTCCGTATCTGAATTATTTACTGTATACTCTACCGGTATGTTGAAATAATTGTTACATATATCATGTATACATACATTGTGTTTTATAATGTGCTGTTAAGAAGGAAATAAATGTTAATAAATACAAATACAAATACAAATACAAACATGGCAAGAGTTCAGAGTCTAATATTGTCATATTTACACTAAAACAGGGGGAAAAAATAAGAAATAAAGATATAGAATGTACTACGGCATATAATAGTTCAATAATGAAAAAAGTAGAACTCGAGTTGGTGCATAATAAAAACTAGATAGAATTTTGACTGCGCGCAGTCGAAAATGATGCCTCCGCCATAGAGCAATTTAAACAAGTTTGGAGTTTAAATCTCCAGTGGTTCTTGAGATATCATGATAACAATCTCAATGTATGGAATTTCATAAGTTGACCTCTGTGACCCTTGACCTTTGACCTACGTGCTCCAAAATCTAATCAGATTGTCTTCCTATGGTGATACACACTATCATTAAGTTTGAAGTTTAAATCTCCAGTGGTTCTTGAGATATTATGATATGGTGATACATACTATCATTAAGTTTGAAGTGAAAATTCTCCAGTGGTTCTTGAGATATCACGATAACGATCTCAATGTATGGAATTTCATAAGTTGACCTCTGTGACCCTTGACCTTTGACCTACGTGCTCCAAAATCTAATCAGATTGTCTTCCTATGGTGATATACACACTATCATTAAGTTTGAAGTTTAAATCTCCAGTGGTTCTTGAGATATTATGATATGGTGATACATACTATCATTAAGTTTGAAGTGAAAATTCTCCAGTGGTTCTTGAGATATCGCGATAACGATCTCAATGTATGGAATTTCATAAGTTGACCTCTGTGACCCTTGACCTTTGACCTACGTGCTCCAAAATCTAATCAGATTGTCTTCCTATGGTGATACACACTATCATTAAGTTTGAAGTTTAAATCTCCAGTGGTTCTTGAGATATTATGATAACAATCTCAATGTATGGAATTTCATAAGTTGACCTCTGTGACCCTTGACCTTTGACCTACGTGCTCCAAAATCTACTCAGATCGTCTTCCTATGGTGATACATACTATCCTTAAGTTTGAAGTTTTTACATCTCCAGTGGTTCTTGAGATATCATGATAACAATCTCAATGTATGGAATTTCATAAGTTGACCTCTATGACCCTTGACCTTTGACCTACGTGCTCCAAAATGTAATCAGATTGTTTACCTATAGTGATACACACTATCACTAAGTTTGAAGTTTAAATCTCAAGTGGTTCTTGAGATATCGCGCTAACAAACTCAATACAAGGAATTTCATAAGTTGACCTCTGTGACCTGTGACCTTTGACCTACGTACTCCAAAATCTAATTAGATCGTCTTCCTATGGTGATAAATACTAGGCATGAAAATATATGTTCCTCCAAATTCCTGAACCACCCCGGCCCTTAATATTTCGGCCTGAAATTGGTGTTTATTCAAATTATCACAATATTTGCCCCTACGCCCCTATCAAAGGGATATAGGGGTCAAGATCCATCTCATGGCATGTATGGACATTCATTGTGGGGAATTAACCTATTAAAAAAAATATATATTTTCCTCCAAAATGCTGAACCACCCCGGACCTTCTAATTTCAGCCCGAAAGTTGTGATAATTCAAATTTTTACAATATTTGCCCCTACGCCCCTTTCAAAGGGATATGGGGGTCAGGATCCATCTAATGGCATGTATGTACATTCATTGTGGGGAAACTAGCCTATTAAAAAAATATAATATTTTCCTCCAAAATGCTGAACCACCCCGGCCCTTACCATTTCGGCCTGAAATTGGTGTTTCTTCAAATTATCACAATATTTGCCCCTACGCCCCTTTCAAAGGGATATGGGGGTTAGGATCCATCTAATGACATTTATGTACATTCATTGTGGGGAAACTAGCCTATTAAAAAAATATAATATTTTTCTCCAAAATGCTGAACCACCCCGGCCCTTACCATTTCGGCCTGAAATTGGTGTTTATTCAAATTATCACAATATTTGCCCCTACACCCCTTTCAAAGGGATATGGGGGGTCAGGATTTATCTAATGGCATGTATGTACATTCAATGTGTGGTAACTAGCCTAATCAAAAAATATAATTTTTTCCTTAAAAATGCTGAACCACCCCGGCCCTTACAATTTCGGCCCGAAAGTTGTGATAATTCAAATTTTTACAATATTTGCCCCTACGCCCCTTTCAAAGGGATATGGGGGTCAGGATCCATCTAATGGCACGTATGTACATTCATTGCGGGGAAACTAGCCTATTAAAAAAAAATATATATTTTCCTCCAAAATGCTGAACCACCTCGGACCTTCTAATTTCGGCCCGAAAGTTGTGATAATTCAAATTTTTACAATATTTGCCCCTACGCCCCTTTCAAAGGGATATGGGGGTCAGGATCCATCTAATGGCATGTATGGACATTCATTGTGGAGTAACTAGCCAATTAAAAATATATAACTTTTTCCTTCAAAATGCTGAACCACCCCGGCCCTTAATATTTCGGCCCGAAAGTTGTGATAATTCAAATTTTTACAATATTTGCCACTACGCCCCTTTCAAAGGGATATGGGGGTCAGAATCGATTTAATTGCATGTACGTACAATCATTGTGGGGAAACTAGCCTATTAAAAAAAATATAATATTTTCCTCTAAAATGCTGAACCACCCCGGCCCTTACCATTTTGGCCTGAAATTGGTGTTTATTCAAATTATCACAATATTTGCCCCTACGCCCCTTTCGCAGAGATTAGGGGTCAGGATCCATCTAATGGCATGTATGGACATTCATTGTGGGGAAACTAACCTATTCAAAAAAAATAATATTTCCCTCCAAAATGCTGAACCACCCCGGCCCTTACCATTTCGGCCCGAAAGTTGTGATAATTCAAATTTTACAATATTTGCCCCTACGCCCCTTTCAAAGGGATTAGGGGTCAGGATCCATCTAATGGCAAGTATGGACATTCATTGTGGGGAAACTAACCTATTCAAAAAAAAAATATTTTCCTCCAAAATGCTGAACCACCCCGGCCCTTACAATTTCGGCACGAAAGTTGTGATAATTCAAATTATCACAATATTTGCCCCTACGCCCCTTTCAAAGGGATATGGGGGTCAAGATCCATCTAATGGCACGTATGGACATTCATTGTGGGGAAACTCACCTATTAAAAAAATATAATATTTTCCTCCAAAATGCTGAACCACCCCGGCCCTTACAATTTCGGCCTGAAAATGGTGTTTATTCAAATTATCACAATATTTGCCCCTACGCCCCTTTCAAAGGGATATGGGGGTCAAGATCCATCTAATGGCATGTATGTATATTCATTGTGGGGAAACTAGCCTAATCAAAAAATATAATATTTTCCTCTAAAATGCTTAACCACCCCGGCCCTTACCATTTTGGCCTGAATTTGGTGTTTATTCAAATTATCACAATATTTGCCCCTACGCCCCTTTCAAAGGGATATGGGGGTCAGGATCCATCTAATGGCATGTATGTACATTCAATGTGGGGTAACTAGCCTAATCAAAAAATATAATTTTTCCTTCAAAATGCTGAACCACCCCGGCCCTTACAATTTCGGCCCGTAAGTTGTGATAATTCAAATTTTTACAATATTTGCCACTACGCCCCTTTCAAAGGGATATGGGGGTCAGAATCGATTTAGTTGTATGTAGGTACAATCATTGTGGGGCAACTAGCCTATTAAAAAATATATATATTTTCCTCCAAAATCCTGAACCACCCCGGACCTTACCATTTCGGCCTGAAATTAGTGTTTATTCAAATTATCACAATATTTGCCCCTACGCCCCTTTCACAGAGATTAGGGGTCAGGATCCATCTAATGGCATGTATGGACATTCATTGTGGGGAAACTAACCTATTCAAAAAAAATAATATTTTCCTCCAAAATGCTGAACCACCCCGGCCCTTACCATTTCGGCCCGAAAGTTGTGATAATTCAAATTTTTAC